ACCTCTTCTCACAAGATTAGCTAGAATTGAACATTGAGAAGGAGGTGGGTCTGGTGTGAGGAAATAATAGAAGCACCCCCAAAAGTGTCTGAAGAATACCCCTGACCATGAGAGAAAGATATCTGGAGATCAGAGGAGAACCACACCACTTCTGAGCAAGGTATACTCTTTACCCTTGTGTATAATTTGTAAAACACACAGGCAGAAATTGCAAGGTGTAGAGTGGCTAGGGCATGTCAGACCATACTCGGCAAGTCAGCTACATCCAAAACCTCGACTATAGGGTATCAACATCCACGCGAGGGAAGAATGAGGATCATACTGCCTTCAACTATAACCCAAGAATTGAAGATTAAGATCTGCTCCAATTCCTGGGTACTACACAAGGATCAACAATGACCATCTGGCATTGAGAGGATGGATTCAACTTGTATGAGGACTTATGTTGATTGGTTCACTCGAATCCAACATCTCAACACTGGAATCTGACATCCATGTGAAGGTAGGATGAGGGCTGCCAATCAAAAGGGGTGAACTGCATGTGTGATGAATCAACTCCACGTACTATGGAATGTGTAACAGGAGGCCACATCAACCATTAAGGTGATGGATCAACTCCACGTACTATGGAATGTGTAACAGGAGACCACATCAACCATTAAGGTGATGGATCAACTCAACTGTATGTGTAAATGAAGAGTAGAAGGCCATGTCAACTACTTTGGTGAGAGATCAATTCCACAGCAGTGTAAATAGTATAAAGAGGCCACATCAGCTTATAAAGTGATGGATCAACTCCAGTGGTTCTGGATATTGCTGTATATATAAATAGTATAAGGAGGTCACATCCACCAACATGGGGTCAGATAAACTCCTGTAGAGGCCAAGTCGCATCTACACTAGCAGAACACCACTGCCCTACTCTTGACTGAATGGTTATAGCCAACTTGTTAGTGGAACCCATTCACATGAGTGACTCCATGGTCAACCACTGCAGCAGCTTGGAGCTGAAAAGTGGCAAAGACTTCCATACTCCACTTGAAGAAGGGGGTAAGAATGCACTGGAGAATCTGGAAGAATGTCATCACCAGAGACAGTACAATGGATGACCATGGTACCCTATTTTGGAAAGCAGACCATACTGAGTTATTCACTCAAGGCATGGGAGGGATGGGCAGCTATCCCCTTCTGCTTTACCCATGCCGTCCATATTAATGAAGCAACTATTGCGAGGTGGAAACTTGTGGAACACACCATCTCTACACTGACCACGTGGAATCATGGATGAGAAAGCACGAGTCAACATGGGTTACAGTGCAGATTTTAAATAAAAGAATACCTGATCAGGCACCACTTGCCACTGAGTGGGATCCATGTGACAAAAGGGAATAATAAAAGGCTCCTGAAAAAGATGAATAGGAATAAAACTTACCAGTAAAAGTTGCACCAAAGTCTGGAGCACAGCCTCAGGTGGAAGACAAAACCACAACACAGAGGAAAGCACAATGTGATGAACATACTAGGCATGGTCTACATGCCAGCTTGGAGAATCTCTTCGAATGGAAGACAAAGATAGGAAGTGAGGGAAAATGTGAAATGAATTTGATGGGAAAACACATGAAACAAGGTATGGGAGGAAGAAGGTAAGGATGAGTAGGCCAAATGGACCAGAAGGTGGAGCCAACTTACAAGGGTAGAAGGAGAAAGATCATGAAGGGAGGAGGATTACCAAGAAATGAAAAAAACAGTTGTGTGTGCCCCAGAGGGTTGCTATACATGCAATATAATATTGTGGACCTTGAAGGGACATAGCAGTCTGTCAGGGTTGGGATGAGGGTAAAGATGGGAGATAGAAGGTAGGGAAAATGGAGAAACAACCTTCTCGAGCTGCCACAGTCTTGGGGAGAAAGGAACAATCAGGATAAAGGAGAAGATAGGTAGGATGATAAAGGGTATGTGCAACATCAATGGCAAATAAATCAGATAGGCAACATCTGCAGGCCAAAAGGAGAAGGAAATAGATCTTCAAAAACAAATGTAACAAGGAACACGAGGAAAATGGTTCAAATGGAGGGAGAGTCAGGGCATGGAGGACCACATTAATGTCCCAATCTGGAGGGGAGGATACCTGGGAGGCTTCTGAATCCAGAAGGAACACATGAGTATAGTGAGAAGAGGGGAAGTAAAAACCCTACAGTATCTAGAGAAATGGAAGGTATAGGAAAAGGCTGCTCTATATCAAGAAATCAGAGACCAAAGGCCCATGATCGAAGAACTAGGTGAGAAAATATGCCAACCAAGCCACCGAAGGCTTGGCAGCAGGAAATCCTCTGCCAGCAGACCAACAGTAGAGATGTTCCACTTGCACTGGTAAACTTCCATGGATGAATGGTAATAGCTAACAGGTAGGTAACTCAATGCATGAAGCCAGATCTCCTTGCTAAGGACCAGACAAAAGCCAGGCATGAAGATACAGGACAGGGAGATTGAGATGAAGAGCAGGGAGATCGAGGTTAATGCAGAAGGGAAGGAAACAGTGGAAGAGGGACAGGTGGTGAGAGGAGAAGACATTGGATCCTCAGAAACCACAGTTGTGATGGTCAATGGAGTACAATTACGAGGACCCGACAAGGGTTGGCAGGGGACACATAAAGGTATTTGTGAGACCAATCCTGGCAGAAAGCCTCAACAGCCAGAGCCTGTGGATGCAGAACAAGTGAACAATAGAGGGACAACTTTGTATTGAGGCAGTGGCAAATGCATCCAATTGGGGAGAGCCCCATAGGAGGCAAAAGTCTCTGAAAACAATTGGATCTAATGACCATTCCATGGGAAAGAGTTGGTCCAGATGTAAAAGACGATCCACTATCAAATTGAAAGCACCTTGCACCTGACATGAGAAGACCAATGTGAAGTGCCTGGGCCCAGTATAGAAAATCCAAGGTCTGAAAACAAAGATCTCTCGATCAGATGCTCCCTTGGTGGTGTATATGAGCCACTACCATAGAGTTGTCAAAATAAACCATCTTGAGATGGTGAAAGCCAAGAGAAAGGAAATGAGATAATGCACAACCAACTGCCATAAGTTTGAAAACATTGATAGGCATGACGAATTCATCTGTAGACCAACCACCCTTAGCTTCATGGTGATCGACCAAAGACCCCATCCCTGAAGGGAAGCATCTGTGAACAGATGGACATCCAGATGCGGGGGAGGAAGTAGCAAACCTGCTGACATACAGACTTTGTTGAGCCACCACAGCTGATCGACTCCTGGGGATGGAAGAAGGGAAATGGTGGCAGAAAAAGGATCCCATGCAAGGTTCCTTCATTCGTGAAATGTCGAACTGCAGGGATGTCATATGTCCAATGCGGTTCTGGAAGACCACATACCCAAAAGCAATAAAAACTTTTGAGCAGTAACTCACTGAGTTGAGAGGGCACATTGAACTAAAAGTTCCATAGAACTGAGGCATAAAGGAGAAGGGAAAGCTTGATTGATGTTGGTATTGAGAAAGACCCCCAAATGCACTAAGGATTGGGTGGGTTGAAGGACAGACTTCTCCAATCTTATCAACCAGTCCACTTGAGCTGCTACAGAAAAGAGTTGGTGAGTGTAATTGGTCGACTCCTGCTCAGAATGAGCTAGAAGTAGTCAGTCATCTATGTAATGATGAAATCACAACCCCCAAAGTATGAATGTGATGAGCAAATGCTCGAATGACACGACAAAATACATATGGAGCCAAGGCAAGTCCAAAGGGGAGAGCCTGAAATTGGTAAACCACCCTGAGATGAACAAACCAAATGAACAAATGGGGGCAGGGAAAAAACATAAGAACGAGTCCCTCTGAAAGAACCTTTGTCATCCATTGATCCTCGATAAAGGGGAGCCAGCGAGGAAGAAAATCCAACAAACGAGGTCCCACAGGCCCCAAACCCACCGGTACTATTGATAACAGACATTTAGTCAGCGATGACCTCGACAAAAAGAAGTACCCATAAATGATAACAGGAATAGGTGGCATGGAAGGCTCTGGTAGAGAGAAACGGGCTATAACAGTTGAAAAGGTGGTCTATTGTCAGACAGATGTTACCTGCAGCTAAATATCATCAGGGATGGTGTCAAAGACATAATAG